ACTAGACTTTGAGTGGACAAGCAGAGATAACTGAGCCCTTGAGTCTGCGCATTCGAACTGGCTGGGAACTCCAGCAGGGCAGGGAGTTTCAGTTTAGCCTCAGAGAATCTGGGTCCCCTGCTGGCAAGAGGCTGGAATGACAGGACTGAGCAAGAGCAAGGAAATGGTCTCACACACTCACTTGCTCGGCATATTCTATGACTTCCCGCTAGGGTGGAGTGAACAGGTACAAAACTCAGACAACTGGTGGTGGTCAGTTGCCTGAAATTTTGAGATAGAAATCTGCTGGGGCAGGGGGAAGCCTGTGGGGGCCATGGGAAAGACCTGCTCCACCTAAGACAGGATGTGTGCACATTAACCTTGGCTTCCCACCTGACGTTCTTGTGATCGGCCTGCATCACTTTCCTTCTATTGGGCATCCTTTCACATGACTCTCTGTCCAACTCCCACCATGCAGGGAGGATGTGTCTGTCACAAGACCTCCAGTGATCTTTGGGGAGGCTTTAGGAAAACACCTGGAGGGTATTGGCTCAGCAGGCCTGGGCCTTGTGCCTCCTCATCCTGGAGGCCACACTAGGGGCTAGGCCCCCATCCCTCAGACACAGAATCACTACCATTCAGAGGAGGACACATTCCTGCCTCTTCCCATCCTGGCTTTTCTGCACCTGCTAGCAATGAACATGTTGTACCAAATGGGGTCCTAGCAGAGGAAGGGAGTCCTGCCACCACCTCTTCATCTGATGAAATGTTGAGTCATCCTTGATTTCCTTAGGAACCAGTGAGGCAGGGGCAATCCCATAGTTAGTCTCCCCACCATATCATAAGGAAGTGACATGCTTTGGTCCTTCATTAATACTCATTCCTTTTGTGACCTTATCTGGTCTTATGGTTTTATATACATCAATCAGTTAATCAACCAACCAATCATCTGTAGCCAGGACCCTTCCCTAGGACCATCGAGGTTTTGTGTTGAGGTTAGACTGTAGGAGATGGGGTGTCAGGAGGAAGTTGGGAGATTAGTGGTGATACTATTTTCAGTAATTATAGCAGCAGAGGAGGTGAGAAGTGGTCACATTCTGGATTTGTTTTGAGACAACAGGATTTTACTGATGGATTGGAAGTGGACTGTTAGAAACAAAAGAATGACACCAATGGTTTTGTCCTGAACAACTGGCGAGAGAGAGGTACCATAACTGATGTGGGAAATACCATGGTGAGAACAGATTTGGGAGCTGGTAGGGGGTGTAGGGAGTCAGGAATTCACTTTTGAGATGACTGTTAGACATGCAAGTGTATATTCTGATTAGACACTTTGGGCACATGAGACTGTCTGCCCCGTAAAGGTGATGATCTCCATGGAGGCATGGCCGGTGTGACTGCTGTGTCTAGAATAGGTCCTGGAGCACAGTAAGTACTCAAATATTTTAACTGTTGAATGCATAGTGCCTCTTAAGGTCATTTTAATTTTATTTTTTTAAGATCATTGTTATTGTGGCTGCTTTATGTGACCCTAGGGTTCTCCTCATCAGCTGATACTTTCTCCTGTGGCAGGACCCCACACACCATAGCTCTCATCACACTGATGTAGTGATCGATCTGCCTCCTCAGTCCAGTCTCACGGTTCATGGTTTTATATCTATCTATCTATCTATCTATCTATCTATCTATCTATCTATCTATCATTTATCATCTATCATCTATCTATCCATCTTTCTATCATGACCTATGTATATCTATTTATCTGGCTGGCTGCCTGCCTACCTAAAGCCTGGGCCCTTCCCTAAACTCCAGGGTGACATACCCAAATTGTCTAATCAGCATGTACACTTGAATGTCCAATATCCCTAACTATACAAAACTGAACTCTTCATTACTCAGCCCCCCACATGCCCAATCACATACATCTCTAGTAATTTTCAGTGTTTTTCATCTCATGGCACGTATAAACTAGTTACTAAAATTCTGTGGCACACCAAAAAATATATATTTCTTGCTGATCTGACCAAAAAATAGGCGTAATTTCGATTCATTCAAAGTAAACAGCTATTGCTGTGTTTGCTGTTGTCATTTTTTAATTTGACAATCTAGGGGAGAAGAGATCAGTGCCCCTGCCTATAAAAAAGTCAGGTGTTGCATGTTTCAACATGTTTTGCAGCACACCAGTTGAACATTGCTGCCCTATTCCAACTACAGCGTTTATCACCACAGTTAACAGCAACTTCGTCTGCCAGTGGTTTAAGCCAAAAACATTGGTGCCATCCTTGACATTTGGTTCTCTAGCTGTCCACATCTGATCTATCAGTAAATCCTGTTCTGTCTACCTTCAAAAAGAAACCAGCATCTAAATACTTTCAGTCTCCTCCACTGCTACCATGACTAGAGCAACCTCATAAAGAATCTCACTGCTTCCTCCCAAGTCCATGGCCCCAACCCTCTATTAGCACCTCAGCCTAAGTGACCCTTTTAAAATATGTCAGATCTAAGAAGATCCTCTGGTAGCTCCCACTTTTACTCAGTCAATGTCTTTGCTATGACCTTCTCAGCCTTATCTCATCTGCCCCCTTTACTCCTCTGACCTCACCCTCTAGTACTTTATCCCTTGATTATTCTGCTTCAGGCTCATTGTCCTTGCTCCTTGGAATAGACCTGGCATGCCCCAGCCTCCAGACATATGCAATAGCTATACTTTCTGACTGGAATGCTCTTCCTCAGATGCTTATCCAATGCTTATCCATGTGGTTTACTCTTTCTTCCTCTAGTCCATGTTCACAGGTCAATGTCTTAGGGACACCTGCCCTGAACCCCCTATTTACAACTGTACCCCACCTATGTCTTCCCCAAGACTCTTACCAAGATTTTGAATGTATTTGGTTGCCTTCTATATATTTTTCTACGTATGCTTCTTTATCTCCCTCTCTAGAACACCATCAATGTAAGCTCATTGGTGATGGAGTTTTTTCCCTCTTTTGTTCACTGCTGTTTTCCCAGTGCCTATACAAGTGCTTGGCATGGAGTAGGTTCTCAATATTAGTTGAAGAAATAAAAAAATGGTTGAGTGAATGCCATTCATTCTCCAGCTTGGCAACATCATTCCAAACCTTCAAACATTTTAATATGCTCTTTTGATGATCACAGGTACTTCTCTAGCAAGTCACTGTTCTCTGACATGGTAGGTGAGCCCATTGGTTTGATATCATGCCTTTGCTTATGTTGTGTACTCTCAGCATAGGCAAACCTCTCTACCCCACAATCTCCTCACTAGCTAACTTCTGCTCATCCATTGAAACTGTCTACATGTCATGTCTTCCAAGATTTCCATGAATCACACCTCCCCCAAATTAGGTTAAATACCCTCCCGTGTCTGTCATTTATTTATTTTTTAAAATATTATTTTTATGCCCTGATTGGTGTGGCTTAGTTGGTTGGGCATTGTCTCACAAAGCGAAAGGTCACTGGTTCAATTCCTGGTCAGGGTCCATGCCTGGGTTGTGGCCAGGTCCCTTGTTGGGGGTATGTAAAAGGCAACCAATCAATGTTTCTCTTGCACATCAATGTTTTTCTCTCTTTCTCCCTCCCTTCCTCCTCTCTAAAAATAAATAACATCTTTAAAAAATAATTTTATTTTCCAATTATGGTTGAAATATAATATTATATTAGTTTCAGGTGCATAACCCAGTGATTAGACATTGTACAACTTAGTAAGTGATCACCTCAACAAATGTAGTATTCATCTGACACCATATATTATTACATTATTATTGACTATATTCCGTATTCTGTACTCTACATCTGCAGGTGACTGACTTCTTCTAACCAGCTCTTATCACATTGCTTTTAGTGACTTCTTTTTTAACTGTCTACTTCAGGATTCCATGAGCTCCATGGGAGATGTCCTGTGTGCTGTTCACTGTTATGTCCCTAGGGTCTGTGATAGTACCTAGCATATAAAGTACTCAGATACTTGAATTGTTGAATGTAAAACTCAGCTCAAAGTCATTTTTATTGTGATGCTTTTGGGGACCTTCCCATCAACTGTTCTTTATTTTAGGAGGCATTCATTACATTCAGGTGAAAGGCAATGAGGGTCAAAGAGGCAAAAGGACCACAGCAGGTTCCCTCTTGATGAGAACCAGATGGCTTACCTCTTAAAGAGCTAATCACTAACAACAGGGCACAAAGAGGGGAGATGCTATCATTTGATTTTGACATCTGTCATATTAGCTTTCTGCTTTTGATAAACATAAAGCACATCCTCAAGGATGGTGCACACTCCTCTACAGACCTTCCCTCCAGTCTGTGGGCATGCACAAAGGTTATCTATGAACTGTGCCTATGGGACAAAAATGCACCAACTCCTGGCCACTACTTCTATACTATTCTCATGTCCACATTGTTCCTCTGGTGCCCAAAGACACCATGGGAAGATTTCAAGCCTGATCTTTACCTTCAATGCACCTTAGAGTGCATTGAAGGTCTTCCTTTTCTGCTCAAGTACTTTTATCTGCAGCCTAGGGTGGTGCTGAAAGAGTTGTATGGAATGCTGACCCACCTGAAATGTGAGTCTAAGCCCTGGCTGGTGTAGCTCAGTGGATTGAATGTGGGCCTGGGAACCAAAGGAATCATGGTTTGATTCCCAGTCAGGGCACATGCCTGGGTTGCAGGCCAGTTCCCAGCAGGGGACACACGAAAAGCAACCATACATTGATATTTCTCTCCCTCTCTCCTTCCCTTTCCCTCTAAAGATAAATAAGTATTTTTTTAAAAAAGAACAAAGCAAAAAAAAAAAGAAAGAAATATGAGTCTAAGCTCTTATACCACATGGGAAGTACTATCTACCCCCTCTACTCTCTCCATCATATAACACATTGAAAATAAGGAGACAAAAACAGGTGATTCTTTGCTTAGAGGTATAGAGTATATTTGGAGAAGGTGCTGCCTCATCTGCACAATAATGGAAATGATGACAGCCTTTTTAAGGGAGACGCAGAAGTTTGAGAGACTCAGAATTCCTTTTTTCTGGAATGGGTATTCTCCTTGTTTAGGCCAGCGCCTCCTGCTGAGGTGAGAGTTGAGGTTTTTTGTTGAGTGGCACCAGTCTGTTGAGGACAGTGCTTAGAGCTGTTGTGGGAAAAGCATTGGAACAAGGAGCGCCTGGGCTGGTGTTGCTGGACTTCATTGTCTAGGCATTGGTGGGCATCAAAGAAAGTGATGCCCTTGTCCTCTGTTGTCTTCTCCAACTTAGCTAGTTTCACGGGGCCTTTGGTGGAGGGTGGACTCTTCTCAACCTTTTGTGTCGTGGTTTTGACCAGTGTTTCCTCCTTAGAGAGAATGGATTCTTTATGCCCTTCACCTTTCACCTTGGGGCTAATCCAGTGTGGAACATGCTTCCTCTTATTTTCCAAGCCAACATCTGCAGCTTCTGGAAGGGTAGGGCTCTTGTGAGTATGAGCTGCCTTTACCAGACCCTATAGCTCCTGGCCCTAGAAAGTGTGGCCTGACAAATTTTGTCCCTGCAAAGTTTGGATCTGAAACATGTGGTCCTTTCAAATGCTGAGCTTTCAAATTTGGGCCTAGTGAGTGGTGGCCTGGTAAATTGATCCTGTAAGGCCAGGCCATTTAAACTATGGGTGCTCCAGAGTGGACATTCTCAGGAATCATTATTTGGATGAGGACATTCAGCTTGCTCTAACAGCCTTTTTTTGTCTTTATTTTTATTGTTGACACTATTACAGATGTCCCTGTTTCTCCCCCAGCCCCACCTTTGCCCCCCTTCCCTCTGGCCATCACCACAACTGTTGTCTATGGGTTATGCATATATGTTTAGTTAAGAACATCCCTTCACCTTTCATCCAGCCCTCCCTTCCCTCTGATAGCTGTCAGTCTGTTCCATGTATCCATGCCTCTGTTTCTATTTTGTTGATCAGTTTATTTTGTTCATTAGATTCTACATATCAGTGAATATTCTAATCTGGATCTTTGCCCCAAGGAATGCTAGAGGATTCAGGAGGAACTTACGGTGAGGGAGAAGCTGGTGAAGGTGCTGACAGGGAGCAGTAGGCTGGGAGGATGAAGATGGTGGCTCTATAGATCCAGACACACCTTGCTAGTCCCTACTCACTCAAGGCAACCATGTTGGTCACACTAAAATTCTACCTGAGAAAGATCCTGGAGATAAATTTGGGAAGTCAGGGGCTTTAGAGGTTCTACTTAGAAGTGTATCTACTGGCCCCTGAATCTCAGGCAGATTAGATGTTCTCTCTGGTTGGGGAGAACCTCATTGCTGTACCCCCATCTCTGTAGTTCTCGGCTGTTTTGAGTTTCCCTGCAACCTCTGTTTTCTCTGCTGGAATAGGGAGTTGTCTTTATCCTTGTAGAGACCTGGGGTTAAGGAGCTCAGGGCTCCTTCAGGCTGGGGTTGTTCACATGGGCCTTCAGGTGAACACAAAGCACCTGAGCCTCTGTCATGTCCCCTCTGAGCTGTGAGATCTTGAAGGCCCAGTGGGCGGAAGCATAAGGAATACCCGGGAATGAGCCTGCTTTTGGTTCTGCTGCACCTATTAGTTTAATTGCAAGCTCCCCTTTAAGGTGGGCCATTCTGGGGCACATGGGATGCCTGGTGGGATGGGGAGTTCCTGGGGAGATGTTTCCCCTTGATTATTTAGACTCCTAAAGGACTCCTAGGCACAGACATTCCTTGAGACAGCCAAAGTTTCTTCCCTGGACTCCTTTGTCTGATAAGACTCCCCAAATGTATCTCTAGGAATTTCTTTTTTTTTTTTAAATTTTATTTATCTTTAGAGGAGAAGGGAAGGAGAGAGGGAAAGAAATATCAATGTATGGTTGCCTCTCATGTGTCCTCTGATGGGAACTGGCCTGCAACCCAGTCATGTGCCCTGACTTGGAATCGAACCTCTATCCTTTGATTTGTAGGCCCACACTCAATCCACTGAGCTACCCCATCCAGGGCTAGGAATCTCTTTTTCAGGTAAAATTTTAGATTGGCCAAGATGGGTGTATTGAATGAATGGGGGCTACTAGGATCTGTCTGGCTATCTAAAGCACCATCTCCATTCACTTGTGGTTAAATCTGGAATGCTTGAGCACTGTCTGGGTAAGTTCCATTAGCATCTTGAAAGCATGGCCCAGGACTCATACATTGCTGTTTAAATGAGATTGAGCTGGAGGCTCTCTTTGACCCCCCAACAGGCCCAGGCACCATCTGGGTGATTGCTTATTGGCTAGTGATTGCTGGGGCTATGGCCCTGGAGAGAGTCACATAGTAGAGACAGTAGCCCTAATGGAAAGGCCAAAACCTGTCTCAGTGACTCAGTCTCTCAGTGACTCCCTGAGAATGAATCCATGCATGTGCTGATCAGGTGATCAGTGACAGTATCTGGTGAGGCTTGTTGCTGCTGATCAAGACCTGTCAGTATTCAGGTGTCACTTCCTGATCCAAGTGTAGGTCTTACTTTCTGGGGCATAAGGGAAGCAAGTTGCTTCCAGAGCTCCTAAAATGCTGCAGTCCCACCAATGAGGATATGGGCAGGGACAATGTCCTAGCTGATCTTCCCCATTTGCAGTCCATATGGCCCTACAGCACTGTCTTGGCCAAGGCAAGCAACTGTGGACTGGTCCATCTGCCTCAGTGGATCAGGACAGGTCCCCACACCCACTGGCCTCTAGGCCTGCAGACTAGGGGACACTCAAATTGGTCAGTGTGCTGCTCCAGAGCAGGAGCTGCTAGTCATCAGGGGACAGAAGCAACTGGAAGGACTGCTGGATCTTCTGGAACAGGCCCTAGCAATGGTGAATCGACCTGCTCAACTGACCACTTCTGAAGGCAAAACCCCAGCACCTCTGGGCATGCTCTAGGAAAACCCTACCTGCCTCTTCAGGACCGAAACAGGCTTCCCCACACAGGTAAGACCCTAGGTCTCAGGGGACTGGTTGCTTATCATGTCTCAGGGTTTATGTTGTATGGTTCTCTGCCTCTACAGAGATCTCTGGGCAACAACTGGCAAGCATCACTGATGTTGGAGCTGCCTTTGCAGCAGGTGCCACTCCAAGGCTTCACACTGGGCCAGAGTTGGAAATGGGACATTGATATGGGCTTTTTGGTAGTCAGATAAAGAAGCCCAAAGTTAGATGGGAAGAAGGTGGAGCTAACAGATAGTACAGAGATTAAGGAGAAATAATTGAAGAAAAAGGTACCGAGGACTCCACTTTTGTGAAGAGATCTTCAGAGGTGGACTAGGGACTGTGTGGAAAAGCAGAACCACAAATAAATAGCAGTGCTTATGTTGCAGATAACACTGAGTCCTCAGTGTGTCCCCCAGGCAATGGACAGAGACCATTTAGTAACCAAAAGGTGGTAGAGGGTAGATTTGGAGTCATGGAGTTGGGATTTGCTTGCTGTGATATTTGCTCTGGGTCCTTCAAAAACCCAGACATTTTGGGTGGACTGGCTGACCTCCTATGACCCCAGGTCAGGGAGATAAAAGAAAGCCTATCTTTTCAACAGAGGCCTTAGCGGTAGCATTATGATGAAAGAAATGGTTGTTTCTTTCCCTCTAGGCTTGGAAAATATTTAAGGCATATAAGTTGCAATAGGAACTCTTTTAAGCTGCAATAGGAACCCTTTTAAGCTGCAATAGGAACTCTTTCACAGACCTTGGAAGCCCTCAGCTATAGAAACGTATATACCTGTACTTAAAGATACCTCAGAGTTTTGTGACACAGGAAGAGCAGGTGAAGGGAATGCAAGGCCATGGGGTGTTTTAGGTTTGTCAGTTCTGGGTTGAGGGAAAGAAAGGGTGCTTAAGGGCTGCTGACCTTGTTTCTCCCAGAGGCATTGGGTGTTGCTGTTCTTGTCCTGCTGGTTCACAGGAATCCTGTGCTCCTCAAGGCTTGAAGAAGACAGAGCATCTGCATCCCAGGACACATCTGGTGCTTGATATCCCTGCTTTAGCTGGTGGTCAGCCCAGTAGTCTTGGATGCTGACTGTACCTGTTGGCTGGGAAGCTGACTGGGTTAAGGATTTCTGATTCATTCGTTGTGACACTGAGGGGGTTGCAGATGGATGTGAAAGTTCTTTGTTGTGCTGGGAACCCTGACTCCGATCAAGAGACAAACTAGACTTGGACAAAATTTCTAGGCAAGAGGAATCCTGGGATGGCCCTGATGAAGAAGGAGAGACTGGGGTGTTCTCACTAGCCAGCCACTGCTTGATCTCCAGAGCCACAGCATTGCAGATGGGGCAGGAGGGGTCTGCACACAGGAGCCTCCGCACACTTCCCTCCTGAGGAAACCAGCCCTGGCTGGAAGAGAAAATGGCATCTGTTACTGATGGATTGACACCTACCTCTCTAGAAGTCTGTTGTCTGGAGATTAGCCCTGCCCTCCCCAGTCCTGTATGTACTGGGGCCACCCCCCTTTCCCCCAGTGGTTACTCCTCTACTTTTCTTCCTATGAAAATACCACTGGGCAAGTTATGGAGTGCTGAGCTGAGGGCCTGGGGCTTGTTGGGCAAGATCTCAGACAACCCATGGGAATGCAGGGTCATGGGCAACTGGGAGGTGGGTGAATTGTCACTGCCCTGTGTTAAGAAGCTTAACCAGGAGATGGGGCAAAGGATGGGGAGTCAGTGGTTTGCTAATAAGGCTTCACCAGAGCCATCACCAGGCAGAACCTGGACTCAGTCTCATTTGGGGCTAAGAAAGCCACATCATGGTATTCAGTATTTCCAAGCTGTGGAAAATGAGGTCCCTGTGGGAACTCTGCTCCCTGGGGACTGTGAGGCGTATACAATGTCTCTGGGGAGCTAATCTCATTCTCTAGAGTTCTTAAGAGGAGGATGAAATGTGAAGCTCCTGGATGAGGGCTGTCCCAGGAACTGCCCTCGAGACAGCACCAGGGGAGGTAATGTCAGCAGGGCCAAGGGGTCTGCCCTTGAAAGGGTGTGGCTGTAAGGAGAATACGACAATAATGACTTATTTATGCACTATTCACCCATTCTCTTAGCTGGCTAACTGGTCTTATGGCTGAGTACAAACCCAGGTAGGTTTGGATGAATTAAGGACTAATCAGTTTGGATGAATTAAGCACTAATCAGTTTCTGAATTCTGGGGCATTGAGAGCCTAGCCCAGAACTGGGAGACTCCTCTTTCCTGAGTCATCTGAGCCCCCTTTGCCCTGGCAACCCTCTCAACCCTGCTGCAGCCCCTGCTGTGTCCAACTCCCTCCCAGCCATTATCTCTCTCCTCATCCTTTTCCCTGGCCAAGCAGAGAGACCATTGTGATCCAGGCTGAAACTGGGACACCACAAAGAGCAACTGATCACCTTTTCATGAAAGACAGGAGCTCCCATGGCTTCTCAGCTTCTTTCCGGGAAAGTCTCCGAGCTGAGAAACCAGGAGACAGTGTTACGTGGAACGAGAGAGGATTCAGGGACATCCTATAGAAGCTAAAGGCCTCTGATTGAGAAGAGACTGAAAACCACAACAGTCAATGCCCTAAGGCACGTCTGTGTCCAACTCAACCAGTTATAATCTGCTATCCTGGACCTATCCCATTAGATCTTCACAGCTATACTACGAGTGAGGTAGGGTTTTCAGATGCCCATTTCATGGATAAAAGACTCAGAGCTGAAGTGAATTCCACAGAGCCATGAAAGTAGTAAATGGCACAGTTGAAGACTTCTGCCCTGCTTCCTCATTCTTCATTCCTTGGGATAGGGTAGAGGATTTTGGAACATTCCCAGGCTCCAGTTTCCCACCCTAGAAATTCTGGGAGCACTTGTCAGCTTGGGAACTGGAAGCTTTAGTGGTTAGAGTACCTGGCCCCACCCCCCACACACAGAGGTCAAAGAAGGGCAAAAGCCATGGAACCTCGCCCACAGTTGGGGGGAGTCAGAGATGAGAGGGGGAGTTTACCTCTTGATGTTCTATCTTTAGCCCTTTGTTTGACTCTCCGTTGATGCTACAGACAAAAAAAGTTAAAGTTTGAAGCTGGAACATGCCTTTTTTTTTAATGTCTAAAATGAGCCAAAACCCACAAATGTTTCCCAACCTTTTTTCTGTATACCAATTTTATACATTCTCCTACCTTTCTTTTCCCTACACTACCTTTTCACCCATCACTTTCTTTCTCTTCTTGTTTCTGATTCTTTTTGAGGCACTTCCTTACTCTACACTTCCACCCTCATTCCCTGAACAAGTTTTGTGGAGAGATCATAATGAGACAGGAGAGAAACTGGAACAGATTAAAGGGTGGGTGGTCTGGTAGCAAAAGGACTTCAGCCATCTGAGGCTCTAAGTGTCTACCAACCAGAAGAATCACCTAAATATGGAGCTGTTCTGGGATCCAATGAGGATATCCCCATTTAAAAAAAAAAAAAAGCAGAGAGTAAGAGCAACAAGAGAAAGTAAGGAGATAAAATCTTGTCTCAGACTTAATTGATTCAGTCATGGTCCTAGTGTTTTCCTACCCGGCAATGGCTCTTGTTAGGTCCCAACTTCAATTCTTGGTGGTTCTTTTTTGCTTGCCAAATAATTAATGCAATAATGATGATGGAGCCATAAGTGTATAAGGGATATCCAATTTCCCACAGAACAAATGTCGGGCTCAACATAATCTAAACCTCACTAGCCATCATCTTTCAAGGTCTTGAAACCTAATGCCTCCATGTGCTAGACCTTGTCATGTCTGCCTCACAGAGTATGTAACCAGGCTGCATCACAAAGCCCTCCTGTTTCACAAGGCAATGCTGAGCATCACAGACCTTTATCTGTCTAGGACAGTGATTTCAACCTTTTCATCTCATGGCACACATTCACTAATTACTAAAATTCTTTAGCACACACACAAATATATATTTTGCCTATCTGACAAAAACGAGTTATAATTTTGATTCATTCACACCGGACAGCTACTGTTGTGTTGTCATTTTTTTTTTAATTTAACAATCCAAGGGAAAAGAAGTCGGTGCCCCTGACTAAAAAGGTATTGCATGTTTTAAAAATTCTTGGGGCACACCGGATGAAAATTACTGGTATATGAGAAGCTCATGTGATTCAGTGTTCAGAGGAGGGTATCTGGTTGCCTGCATGGGTTGCAGAGCCTAGGCCTAAAGGTGCCAAGGTCATGGGCAGCATATATTCTTTCATGCTCTTCCTCTTTCCTATGCCCTGATGGCTCAGCTCTCTTTGTGAAGACAATAGTTAGGCATCTATCCCCAGGTAACTGAGCCTTAATGTATATTGCATGCCCTATAAGAAAAATAATGGCTAGGCCAGAGGAACTCCATAAACTGTATGACCTATAGTGGGAAGATAACCAAAAAACACACAAGAGGACAAAGCTTGCAATGTCTTGTTAAGTCTTGGAAAGTGTGAGTTTTGATGTGTCACAGGCAATAAATAAGAGGTCGGTATGGCGAGGTTCAGGAAGAGGACCAGGTGTGAGGAGGCAAGGAAAGGACATAACTGCTGTCCTTTGAAATAACTTTGTAAGTTATTTAAAAATGATTCCTTCTAGTGTGTATGGTCAAGCTTGAGATGGGCAGGAAGAGACTGTCTTTCATGGAGGCACATGAATGAAGTTCACCTCTGGAGCTCGATTTTCCGGAACAGACACTATAGATCTTAGAGCATCCTATTTAGGGATATGGATTATTGGCTGGACTTTTGATTAAGGGCCACAAACTTGTGGCTCTTTGGTTGATTCCATCATGGTTGGAATGTCTGGCTGAATGTTTTATTAAAATCTGAATTTGTGCACATTTAGGCAGAGCAGGCTTTTTCTATCCAACTTCAATGCCCACCACACTTTAATGTCCACTGATTCACTTAGTAATGTTAACGCCATGGCCCCTGTGGACATTGTGATATGCCTCCAACATTCCAGGATTTCTGAATTTCCTTAAGATGTTCTTGCCCTGATGAGTGGTTCCACAGCCCAAATATTCTTTAGGCCCCAAATCTCTGAAGAGGCTGTGTGGTCCTGCATCCAGCATCCACTCTCCTGCTGAAAAAATAGGGTGAGTACGCAGTCCGCTCAGCTGTAAGCTGGGCGGTGTCAAAAGTACAGAGACATTTGAGTCGTGTTTCCTGCCTGGTCTCAAGACCCTTAAAAATCTAGTTTCAAAGACAAGACTAATTCACATGAATCAAAAACTAATCTTACCAGGCGGTTGGGAAAAGGGGACCAGGGAGTTTTATTTAATGCATACAGAGTTTCTATTTGGAATGATGAAAAAAGTTCTGAAGAGGATAGTGGTAGTGGCTGCACAACATTGTGAATGTACTTAATGATGCCGAACTATACACTTTAAAAATGGTTAAAATTTGCCCTGGTTGGTGTGGCTCAGTGGACTGAGTGCCAGACTGAGAACCAAAAGGTCACAGGTTCGATTCCCAGTCAGGGCACATGCCTAGGTTGCGGGCCAGGTCCCCAGTAGGGGGCACGTGAGAGGCAAATACACACTCTTCTTCTCTTTCTCCTTCCCTTCCCTTCTCTCTAGAAATAATTAAATAAAATCTTTTAAAAGATAGTTAAAATATGTTAAATAGATTTAACCACAGTTTAAAAAAACAAAAGGCCAAAATACAATTATTAGCATAAGAGACTTTTTATTATGCTAGGAAGAATATTCTGAAAGTGATTCGATAAAGAAATAGATTAGAAAATGTTTTTCTTGAATATTCTTTTATGTAGAACAAAATTGAAAACTCGAACCTGATATTCAAGATAATCCTTACATCCCTGAAGATGTCGAAAGGACGTCATTTCAATATCTTTTCTGAACTTGCAAATTCCATAATACAGGAAAAAAGACTTTTTCGACCAAACAGTACTGAATGACACATTCACAAAATCCACTTAAAAGCACCTTGCATCAGCTTTTCAGTAGCAAGGCAAGACACCTACAGAGTGGCTTGAATCTGTTGTTTCTTTTATTGTTACTACTCAACCTGGTCCTTCCTGTAGCCACTGCCATCCCCTATGCCACTGCAATAGTTCTGTCTCCCATTAACCTGACCCAGTGGGTGCCATGAGGTATTTGTGTCCTTCTCCCCTGGTCTCTGAATATATGTGCTTAATAAGCTGCTGTCAGTCTCATAGGTCCAGCATTGGTGTCGTGCATTCAGCCATCCCCAGAACCCTAGGGACTCTCTCCCTCACCAGTGAGCTGGAGAGGAGGCAAACACAATACTATATATCCCACCCAACCAGTGCCAGCTTCCTGCAGCCGCTGCCACTTTTTTGCTGCTGAACAGTACTCAGTTTCCATGAGCCTAACCACTTGCTTCAGTCAAAACCATCAAATTCTCCAAACTTCACACCTGCTCCGACCAGTACACTTACCTTCAGCCACTGTCAACTTACTAAGCCAGGTGGCAAACACAAGGCCCAGCACCTTGTTTCTACACAGCCAAGCTCCTTGCCCCTAGTTAAGGAGTAGTTACATTTATACAGTCCTAAAATTACATTCGGCCCTTTGAAGGCAACTGCAAGGTTGATGTGGCCCCTGGTGAAAATGAGTTTGACACCCCCACGAGCCGTTAGAACCATCAGCTAAAATCTCCTCTCTACCAGCTCAACCCAGCCCTTGCTCCTCTATCTCCAAGCTGTGGAGTTAGAACCAAAGGTAATCTTATGCCTTTTTGCATAATTGGCCTTTGGTGCAGGTGTTATTGATTTGGTACTTGTTGATGAAAGGTGCTTGTGTGGATAGGACGTGAGATTAGGGTCTTCCTAAATAAGGGCACATTTACATGATGGACATACTGCTTGTGATTTTTAATGATGTGGGGATAGATCTTCACACTTGCCCTTTCTGCCTCATGGTTTACAATGAACAGCGAACAAGGCAGGTGAAGTACAGGGAAAGGTTCTGTGGACTCTGGAGGACTATACAACTCCAAAGGATTCATATTCATGTGTTTCTAGAAGACTTGTAAAGCCGGACCTTGCTTCCATTATAATGCTACGGCATCACAATTATTGTAATAACAGAATTTCCTCAGGAAACTGTTCACAGCTATTGATTCATAGGTACCACGGGTCACACAGACGTACCACTTATATGAGTTGCCCCTCCTGACAAGCCTTATTAAGTTTTGCTGTGTCTCATTCTCAGAAAGTATTATGGCACACCTTAGTTATGCCAAGATGCTTGGTCAGAGAAACATAGTTGCTGCAACATTGTTATACATGAGCATTTTTATTAATGCCCAAGATCTAAGATTTCCAGAGTGTTGGACTGGAAGCTGCAGAGTACTCTCAGGCAGCAAGACCGCCGGTGCTCACACAGTGGGTTACTACACTGTGCTGCAGTGTAGCGATCAGCCAGAGGCACTAGAGGGCAGCACATGCCCACTTGATGCGCCCAGTCTGGAGGACTCACTGACAGGAACAGTAGCCTGTCCCAGTGGCTCTTAATCCTGGCTTTGCAATAGAATAAACGGGAAGATTGTAAAAATATAGATTTCCTGGCCTCACCCATGCTTAATGAATCGGAATCTCTATGTAGGGCCCAGAAATTCATATATTAAGAAAGAATTTAAAATAATCCTCATACAATAAAGTACTGGCTCTGGATGTGTATTTGGAAACAATTGGCCTCCAAAGAGAAATAGTTCCCCCACCCTGCCCCAGTTTCACTGAGATATAACTGACATAGACCATTGTGTCAGTTGAAGGTGTATGACATAATGATTTGATATGTGTATATATTGGGAAATGATTACCACAATAAGTCAATATCCATCACTTTACATGTTACATTTTTTCTTGTGATGAGAACTACTCTTTTAGCAACTTTCACAACTTTCAAACACTGTACAATACAGTATCATTAACTGTACAGTATCATTGACTATAGTCACTGTGCTGCACATTAGATCTTCAGGACCTATTAATCTTATAACTGGGTGTTTCAACCTTTTAACTCACCCATTTCCCCCACCTCTCACCCCCTGCTGCTGGCAACCACCAATCTGTTCTCTGCTTTTGTGAGTTTTGGCTACATTCCACATATAAGTGAGATCATATAGTATTTGTCCTTCTCTGTCTTATTTCACTTAGTGTCATGTCCTCAAGGTCAGATCAATGTTTCTCCTCCCCCTTCTCCTCCTTTCTTTTTCTTTTCCTTCCTCCCTTCCTCCCTTCCTCCCTTCCTTCCTTCCTCCCTTCCTCCCTCCCTCCCTCCCTCCCTCCCTTCCTTCCTTCCTCACTTCTTCTTCCTCCCCTTCTCCTTCTTCTCCTCTTCTTCTTCCTTTTTATTCCTTCTTTACAGCTGAATAATATTCCAGTGTGTGTGTGTTTGTGTGTATCACATCTTTATCCATTCTTCCATCAATAGACACTTAGGTCTTGGCTATTGTAAATAATACTGCCATGAACATGTGGGTGCAAATATATCTTCCCGATAGTGATTTAGTTTCCTTCAGATATATATCCAGAAGTGGGGTTACTGAATCATATAGTACTTATATTTTTATTTTTTATAATATATTTTATTGATTATGTCATTATAGTTGTCCCATTCCCCTCCCCCTGCACACCCCCTCCCAGCTACATTCCCCCCTTTAGTTCATGTTGATGTGTCATAAGTTCTTTAGCTTCTAC